AGACTTGACCAACACTGGAGCAGGTTCCGATATATTCAAGGCCATTTCATGCCAATTGCTTACCAACAGTGCGTAACAGCGACATGACCGACCCCCCAAGCAGCTAACGAGCCGATTAGTGGCGAAGAGAATAAAAGTAAAAGCAAAAAGTAAATGATTTCCGTAAAACCTGTTTTTCTTCAATAATTTCGAGGAACGTTCATTAAGGAAATTATCCGAATTAAGCGGTGAGCAATAAAAAAAACTGCAGTAAGTCAATTTTCGTAACATTTTTAAAACATTTCATAATATAATAAAGATTTATTTTTATTTTCACAATTTTTTTAATGAAAATCAGTTTTATTTTGATGTTGGTGTTCATGGGGTGTAAGATCAGCGTGTGTCTGGAGCAGGTTGAGGTGAGAAGCGAGGACAAGCAGCGCTGGCCCAAAGGAGTCGTTTACTACTGTTTGGACAACAGGTTCATCCCCAGCGAGCAGGGGGCGATCCATTTGGCTATGAGGCAGATAGAGGACAAAACCTGCGTGAAATACACTCTTCGCTATGAATGCCACAACCCCGCCAAGATGAGACGCGTGAAGACGCTGTTCTTCAAACGCGGTCACGGGTGTATGTGTCATGTCGGGTACGCCAGGAAGTCAGCCTCATATCTCATACTCAACCCTGTCTGTTTTCGAGTTTTCGGCACTATCATCCACGAACTGCTCCACGCCTTAGGGCTGAGGCATGAACACCAACGTCATGATAGAAATTATTACATACATATCAATTATAGCAACATAAGACGCTCCCGTCGCAGGAACTTCATCAGGCGTCGACGGAGTCGGAGTTATGTTCTGAGTGCGGGGCTGCCGTATAACTACGGCAGCATTATGCACTATAAGGCGAAAAGCTTTGCCAAAAACAAGACCTTGCCCGTCATAACTCCCTTGTGTGAATGTACGGAGATTGGCCAGCGGGTTGCACTGAGTAACACAGACGTAGCCAGGATCAACCGCATGTATAACTGCACTAACAATTATTTAGGCGACGACATAGTTGGCGCCGTGCCATTTCACGTGTGGCAGAGACGAGTGGCCTGGCTTAGACGCCGCGAAGACCGCCAGCGATGGTGAAGCGTCTACACTACACTAAAACACACACACACACACACACACTTGCCTGTGTGTGTGTGTGTGTACCGGAACTTAAACCTATAATACAACCCATTACACCTTCATCTATTTTTTTCTTGTCACTTTATGATTCGGTATAGAAACTGCATCAAACTTTTGTAAAGGTTTACAACAGATATACATTCTGAGAAAAAAACTAATTGAAATTAACATGACCAAACGAAAACAATTTATTTTTAACACTAACTGATGCTCTTATTAAAATTCAATTATTCTGTGAAATATCTCGGTATTCATTTTGACCGGAAATTATCGTGGAAAATCACATCAACTTTTTAACATCCTGAAATATTCATCAGGTACAAAATGGGGAACAATTGGGAATCTTTATTAATTGTGTACTATTTAAGACCCTAATTTGTTCACACTTATATTACGGAATCCTGTTAAATGTTTCTACCAGTGATTCCACACTTATAAAACTGACGAGCATACAAAACCAGTGTCTGCGTACATGTGTGGACGTGAGAAGTACGACTGGAGGAGAGGTAGAGGCGCATGTCCCTCCACTTATATATCAGGAGGGACCTTCTGACCTTAAGGTATAGTTTCACGGTAGCTTGAAGGTGGGACAAAGGTCACCCGGTGTAAATGTTTCAGATTACCCCCTGGTTCAAGTTATCCCCGCGACCATTTGAACAGGTTGATAGTATCCCCTCCAGTTTCAAATAACCTCTATTTATCACAGCTGATTTGGCCTTATAGATATAAAGATAGAACAAATTTTATTGAATACTTGTTCTTTTTTGTGTGGTTATGCAAGTACTGTATTGTCTAGTTTTGAAAATTTAATAAATTGTATTTAAAACATCGATTTTATAATGTTAATGACCAATTCTTGGCATGAAAAGACTAATGTAAAATTCGATTAAATACAAAACTCATCCTGTTTCTTGTAAATACCAGATCATTTGAATAGTGTTGACAATAATTCCACTTACCACCTCCCTTTCCAAATTCTGGATACCCCCTTGTATAATACAATATCATCATAAATAACACTAATGCGTAAATGCAAAAATCTTTTAAACACTGCATATTTAATATTAATGGAGACAAGTAAGTTTGATCTATTTTCTCAAAGCAAAAATTATTCATCAAAGAACCTACTGTACACTATTCAATTCAATATCTCCACTAATACGCTCAATATATCATGACAATGAAGTCTTAGTGAGAATATCACATGTGTCTGGAGAGACTGTAGGTCCAAAGGTCCAAGGTCTTTATAGATATACTGTACACCTTGTTTTGTTTTGTTTTGTTTTGTTTTGTTTTTTTATACGGGGATTAGCCCACCCAGGCACAGGTCACTGACCCACATCGGGGTCTGGGGGGTGAAAATGTAATAATAATAATAATAATAATAATAATAATAATAATAATAATAATAATAATAATAATAAAGAAATAAAAAAATTAAAAAAGAGATCAAGAGTGAGAAACAATATACAGTATGTATGTTGTGTTGTCAATGGTAAGATAAAAAAATGAGACCCTGCAACTGTGTGTAAATGAGGCAGAAAGTCAGATCAGCAACCTGGGACTTGGTCACATTTTCGTGATGCCATATGGCAGCAGGGTCTACCATTAGACAACACATTATACGTTTTATGCTTCCAATATCTTCCCAGGCGGTAGCACCTCCCAGTTTGATAGCAAACAGGTGTACAGTATATAGGCCATTATCCGTATGCATGCATATGCATGTTCCAGAGGGTGCATGTGTGTTTTTCTATCACGCAAAACATGATTTCCTATGAGTACGTGTGTGTGTAATTTAAACTTAAGTTTTTATTACCCCAGGGATATATTGAACCTAGTTAAAAAAATACCCGCGGTACTTGAAACTACAGGAGGTTCAAATTACTGGGGTGTAAATTGTAATTGCAAATCGTTACACCAGGATCTGTTTCCAACTTCAAATAATGTTGAAAATTAATATTTCTTATGTTAGAGATGTCTTTACGCTAACAAAACTATATTCATAGCTTATTGTGGGAATTTTCTAGCACGTTGTTTTAAAGCTTAATTGCAAATCTGGTGGTAAAGGTGTTTAGACCTTGCTAGTAGTAATACAAGAAAAACTACTGTGAATTTACTGAAGAAGCAGTTAGTTCCTATAATATTTTTAGTCCCATAAATCGGGAAAAAATTCCCATCACTAATCGTTACCACGTGTTTCATAGGTCGCCCACCACAAGAAAATTAATGTTACCTTTTTTCTTCTTTTGCAGGCGAGAGAATCAGAATAAATTAACGAATATGGCAAAGAAATTAACACTAGAGGAACAAGTCAGTTTGTTATTCAGGTACAGAAAACCCTGCAGATGCTACACACCGATCAGTTGCAACAGTGTTTGACCGACAACACACAGATTTAAATTTTATGTTTTCATATGTGGAAATTGTACATAAATAAATAAAGCTTGAATGGGGAATTAATAAACATAGACACCAGTGTTTAGGTATATTTATTTCATGAATCAATTGAAACAATATGGTGTTTCTTCGGTGATTAATCAGCATAACACTTCTGAAGATGTGATTACAATATCCTCAAACTGTAGTACAACAGATTCAGCCAAACCTAAATACACCTACCGTACGACACTACATGGCCACAGTAAGCAGAACACCTTAGTCTATATGCTTTAACAACGAAATCAGATTCAGATTTGCCCCCGAGGGAGCTAGTTTATTGGGCACCCCCTTACATCCTGTGCAAGGTGAAGCGCAGAAGCGTTTACAGCGCCCATCTGGGAAGTATGCAAAGTTCATACTTGCCCTTATGACTCGTGCATTAAGGGCGTAAAAGCCTGAAGGGTCATAGGTTTTGTCAAGTTACATAAATTGAGAGAATGATGAGTGTGTGGGGGTAAAGTTCCCGGTACATTTCATCTGTTTATAGCAAAGCATGGCAGGACCCTAATAATGTCAAGTGCCAGGCTTGTGACTAGGAGGAGGGATATCTGGTCAGGGAGGGAAGAGGTGTTGGTAACGGCTGGGGACCTGTAGGAGGATGTAGTGAGAGAGGGTGTGAGAGTCGGGTTGGCCACAAAGTTTACAAACAGTGCGGCCAGGCTCAGGATTGCCAATGTACTCCCATAAGTACCTGTACCATAGACGCAGTCTCATGTATATAATCTGTTGAGATCGAGTCAGGGATTGATACTGTTTGTAGTGGCGGTTGTCGTCACCGGTTACAGCGTCATAGTGGCATAGTGTGACGCTACCCCGTTGTTTCAGGTGTGTCCAATTTTCGTTGAATGCCTCTCGTTGTGTGGCGTGTATGCGAGATTTGAGATGATTCAGGGAGAGAGCGAGAGTGGCTTCAATATCTTCTTCTTGCGTAGCTTCTTTGGCAAGCCGATCAACAGTGTCACAGGCAGTTATTCCTATATGTGACGGGATCCAAATAAACTTGACACGGATGTCATCAGTTTGTTATAGCCCGGCAACGGCGGCTAGGGTGTGTTGGGCGGCAGGGGAGGAGGGGGAGGGTAATTTGAGCCTCGCTAGCGCAGAAGTGCTGTCACTGATTATAAGGAGGTTCCGGCGTTCAGTGCGAGCATAGGTCGCCCCCTCATGAATGCCCGCGAGGATGGCTATGCTTTCAGCATCAGTGGAGGAGGCCCAGTCGTGGACCCTGATTTTCCTGCAGGCCTGGCGCTCAGGAATCCACACAGCTGCCCCAGCGCTGCCCAGCGTGGTAACAGACCCATCATAGTAGACGAAGGATAGGAGGGTGGGAGGTCTTTAGAGAGGAGGCGACATCATTAATTTGCTCAAGGCAGTTAAGTTTGAGCATATACCTCAGTTGGGTGGATTTACGACCAGGAGAGGTGTGTACGACAACATCAACACACGGGGAAGTCCACGGCGGTAGAGGCGGATGAGTAACAACGAAATATATGTGCACAGTTTCTAATCTTGTTATTAAGATAAGTTCACTTTGGTGTGATTGTTAACTAGTTGGCACGGTTATACCATTTCAGTTTGACACAAAAGACATAACATCCTCAAGTATAGCGTGGTCGACATTATACAGTACTGTATATACATGTCGCGGGAAGTGTATATATAAACTGGTATACTCAGCGTTGCCCGGGTTTGTTTTCGTGGGGTAACTTTCCAATATCCATGACTACACTATCAGCTATACTACATACACTGAACATTCATTACTACATACAAAAAACTATCATTCTTAACACCAAATATACATTATTAAAAGTAACTTATAATTTTTGTCTTGTATTTATACTTTTACTTATATACTTATATTTTGTTCAGGACATGGCAAGGGGGTGGTAATAATTGAGCAATGCCACTACTTGTTCAACACTTGCGTCATTGGTACCCTCGACCACTAGTGTTGCCAACCAGAGTGCTTGAAATTAAAATTATTGTTAAGTCCATCTTGCAGCCACTGACGTTGCACGGGCACCCTGCGAGAGGTAGGTGGCGTGTAGACGGTCCTGAGATAGACACAGGTTATAGAGCGCTTACTTGCGGGAGGAATAGATGTAGATTCCAGCGTATCCCACAATACCACCCAGGATGAGCATGCCCACTGCCAGGCCACCCATGTCACCTGCGGAGGAGGGTGATTTAAGTGAGAATTTTTATCTTTTGATGATAGATGGTGGTTAATACTGGTTGAAATCTCCTAAGTATGTTAATGTGACATTTCACGCATCTAAGGATATATATATATATATATATATATATATATATATATATATATATATATATATATATATATATATATATATATATATATATATATATATATATATATATATAGGGTGATTCAGCAAAGAGTGCATTAAATTGGAGGATGAAATCCTTGGATAATTCTAAACCACAATGTCTCTATGGCAAAATGTCAGATTCTGTATATGCCCACGTGTTCGTGACAGGTGCGAGCAAATTAAACATAGTCCAGGCATTCTGGAACGTGTCAGACAATCAATGGTACGACGACGTGTACAGGCCTGCATTGAGGCAGATGGGGGCAACTTTGAACATTTCCTTTAGGCTGTAACAAAGAGGGGTCACACTGTAGAGATCTGTGAATAAATGATTACAAAAACCTACGGGGGTTTCACTTCAAATTCACTCTCATTGACGCAACATCTTAAATGTATTGCAACATGGAAACTATGCAGAATCTGACATTTTACCATAGGGACATTGTGGTTTAGAATTATCCAAGGATTTCATCCTCCAATTTAATGTACTCTTGAGGCAGGTGGTGACCTGCCTCAAGGAAGAAGCATACCTGAGGAGTACCCTGTGGGGATGACGGTGCCTCGCGTGTGGCCGTCGTCCCTCTGGATCTCCTTCATGGTCCCCGGCAGCCCCACCAACTGAACGACAAGTGGCTCCTGTGTCATGTTGGGAGGAGAAGTCACGAGTTACCATCAGGATAAACGTGGGAATAAGTTTAAATGTGTTGAAGAAGACAGTTATTAATGCAATAAGAGCAGGTGTTACTACGAGCAACAGAAACGGCAAGCAATAATACGTAGGAGAGGAGAACACACGGTAATGAGAGGAGGAACAGATGTTAATGAGAGGGGGAACAGATGTTAATGAGAGGAGGAACAGATGTTAATGAGAGGAGGAACAGATGTTAATGAGAGGAGGAACAGATGTTAATGAGAGGAGGAACAGATGTTAATGAGAGGAGGAACAGATGTTAATGAGAGGAGGAACAGATGTTAATGAGAAAAGAACAGATGTTAATGAAAGGAGGAACAGATGTTAATGAGAAAAGAACAGATGTTAATGAGAGGAGGAACAGATGTTAATGAGAGGAGGAACAGATGTTAATAAGATGAGGAACAGATGTTAATGAGAGGAGGAACAGATGTTAATGAGAGGAGGAACAGATGTTAATGAGAGGAGGAACAGGGCGGCGACGAGCAAATGCTACTACCAGAGAAGATAAAAACCTCAGGTGTTAATACGAGTAGAGGGGCGTAGTAATGAAAGCAACCCAAGAATTAAGGAGAAAAGAAAGACGGATGGTCCAGGAGGAAGAAGATAGGTGTTTATGAGTAAGATGGACCTCTCTCCCTCACCAGGCCTCCAGTAATCTGCACGAGTACCACGAGCTGTGAGCCATCGATCTTGTTCCGTATCTCGGTGGCTGCCTTGTTCATACTGTTCTCGTCGATAGTCAAGCCGCCCACGTCACCCACCTCCGTCGGTTTCTCCAGGAGCGTGAAGATAACCTGTAAAGCCGCCGCCGTCTGTTTGATCTGTCCACACACACAAACACACACGAGGTCAGTGATGAAATGTTTGAATTGCAGGAAATGGTTAACAGATTTACAGGGGCTAGTTAACAGACTTACAGTAGCTACTTAATCGACTTAGTGGTTAGTGGAAATTGAGGGACTGGCCATCCATATTCTGTGTATGTCACCCTTTCTCTTTATATACACAATCACATAGCCATCTAGAGGCCCCTCCTCCTCACCTCCAGTCTGTTGATCCTGAGGGGGGTGACCTTGCCAGCTATACCCAGGGCCTCCACCACCCCGTACATGAGGTTGTCGCGCCTTTGATGAGTCTTGTTGAGGGAGTTCGCGGGCAGGTCGAACTGGAAATGCCTCATCTGATTGGAAGCGTAGCAGGTGGAGATATCATGCTTGTATGTGGTGGGCACCTGGCTGTCGAACCCGTAGATGTTGTAGGTGAGGTGGGGTAGAGCTTCGAGCTGTTTTGGGAGGCGAGGCAGAGGTAATTTACGCTCACATGAAGATTAGAAGTGCTGGGTTCATTAAGTTTAGAGGTTAATTTATGAGTTAGAATACGCTTTATATTAAGTTAGAGCTTAAGTTATAAGTTAGATTATAACTTAAGTAAGAGCTTATTCTAAGTTATGAGTTAGATTATGTTTAAGGTTAAGTTATAAGTCAGATTAAGGGCTTCTCACTGGGCTAAATCTCAGCATTCCTCAGGAGAAAACGGCTATATAGTCGTTTTGGTCAGATTTTCGACTGAAAATTGAGATCCGAGGAAAACGGTACGTACGGGAGTTCTCGGGCGAGTTTTAACTACATTTTCGATCCAATTGAGGTTTTGTAATATTTATAATGGAAGGGCAACAATTGGGAAAAAATACTTATTTAAATACAAATTTATCATTAGAATATTTATTTCTATATACAAATGAAAATTATAAAGACAAAATTTGCACTCACTGAGAGCAGCCAGCATGGAATTTCAAGCCTCACGAATTATTTGGACGAGGGACTTAAACTTCCCTTGTTGATAAAGTGAGTGAATGCAGAGTATTGTGGGATTTCAGGCATCCGTTGTACAATATTTCAAGAAAAGCTGAAGTCTCCATAATCCGACGGATCATAGTTCTGAAGGTCACACTATCACAAACTTTCAGGGTTCAGACCACTGAACCTACTGTTATGCCGAGGCATAATTTGGTATTATATAGTGTTTGTAAACTAGGTGTTTTGATTATTTTGTGTCCCAGGCAACAGTTATTTTGGCAAGTTTAGGAAGATTTTCGTGTATATATTGATGTATTACGTATGTAAGAATATTCTACAATGTATTGCATAATTTGTGTTATGATTTACTTCCTATTTTAAGCCTCGATCAGAGTAGAACGTAATAGAACTTTCCAGACCTGTCTGGGTTGTTCTAGGATCGTCTGACAAGACATATATAAGCGGCAGCGTGCGGTTGACTCAGTTTCCTCCCCCCTGTCATTTGCCTTTAAGTCAAGTCAAATTTCGCAGCACACGCATCATGACTGGATGCGGCAAGGGACTCGGAAAGGGTGGCGCCAAGCGTACGCCTGACCTGACGCGGCCGGGCGGGGTGACGCTGCCGCTAACAATCTGGGTACAACCCTACCGCCATCAGGCAAGCTGTGTCAAGCCACAGATCCTTTTCGCCCACTACAATTCCCTTCCATCTCCACTTTATCCTTCCACTGAACCTTCTTCCCCCCTATCACTTGCCTTTAAATCAAGTCAAAGTTGACTCAGTCAGTAAACCGTTTCTGCTTAGTGTTAAGAACAAGCCTAGTAGGACAACTGAAGATATTTGTTGTGCAAGTATTGTGGAACTGTTGTGACCAGTATAAAAGTCAAAAGACTAAGGAATTGTACACTGATAGTATGCTGGTTATATAGTCGAAGTGGGAAGTCCAGCTGTGAAGCCATTACCCTGTGAACAGTGTTGTGAAGAATTAATGACTATTAAAGCCGACTACAGTGCACAAGTGTGTTTCTGTGGCCTGGTGGAAATCTACCTGCCTGTTGTTTGTCTGTACACTGATGCCGATCGTCGGGGAATTACCGGAGACTGACGGGACAGCCAGTGGTAATTCGACAACATTTGTGAGATATCTACTGCTTCTGTACATAAGACCCTGGCCACTGGTAACCAGTGGTGGGAGCTGGGTAAGCGGTGAAAGGAGGGTCGTAACACTACTTATAATGAATTTCTGGAACATAAAATGCAAGCCCTGATTATCCACATTGGCTTCGTTTTAAGAACGGGACTGACACCCTTGTGAACTGCAGTTACGAACATACCTTATACATGGTTGGATTTTTACTTATTGTGTTCTTACCTGGGTAATGTACTTTTCCAACTTGACAGGGATTTTGTCAAAAGTTGGGATGATCAGCGATGGAGCGAATTCTGGTATTTCCCCTAAGATATCGTGATCCAGAGGCTGAAAACACATGGTAGAAAATGATCAGGTACTTTTGGTGTTGAAAGATTATAATGAATGAGTTTGTCAGATTTCTAATGCAATATTTACTCTTTTTGGTGCAAGTAATAGTGTCATACTGATACAGTATTCTAAAAAGATATTTCTCATATTTCATCGAAGTCAATTATAAAACACTAGAAAGCTGTTCAGGCAATCTTCTAGTCGAAAAACCGAGAAGCTTAATTCAGATCATACGGTAACCTTAACTTGGGTAATTTTGCGAGAAATACCCCAAGCGAATGTTCGTATGGAATGGATTTTCAGATTCCTGGGTTGTTTTTCCCCAAAACAAACGTCTTACCTTCTGGCGGAAAAACAAAAATATAATTGCCCTGGCTCTTGGACTACTGTATTTAACAACTCTGTAGTGGATTTCTCCCCTACAAACGCTGTTTGTCGCTGAGTAGCCGACCCCACCAATTCCCCAGTGTATGCCTCGTTGTCTAGGTCAACCAGCGCCGCCATACATCACGGAGCGGGGGTCAACTACTAAGCCACGCCTATCCCCCGCTATTTAAGACCTGACCTCGTGGTGACCTGTCTCTTTCTACCTACAGCCGCAGCCAGCAACACCTCCTCCTCCGCCGCTGCCTGGCGGCCCTCGCTCCTCCTCCGCCTGCCTGGCGGTCCTCGCTCCCGCCGACGATCATGGCGACCCACAAGCTGTCCTTCTCTGAGCATCTTCACCAACCAGCTCTCTCTACATCACGCTTGTAACCATGCTGCCTTCCCAGCACCAAGCTGCATTGTACATCCAATACAACATGTATATAGAGAGCACATTGTGAGTTTCCTTTCTCCATTCCATCCTGAGTGTGAACCAAACATCTTGAACCCCACAACTCCTTTGTTGACATTCGGCGAGACTGCAAACGTTTTAAAGTTCCAGATACTTCTGCATTTTATAATTTATCATTCATAAAATGAACTAAATTAACCTACATATCTTAATCGAGCCTACCTAAACTTGAGCTTCTTCAAGGCACCATCATATGATTTTTAGGTTATTTTGGTTAAACTTAAGAACGATAAATTATACAATGCCCGCCGTTTCTAGTACTCTAATAGTTCCCATCTCGCCCAGTGTTTACAAAAGTACTCGTGACTTTACACCAGTTATATTTATAATATACGTAATAGAACACGTGGCACAGAATGCTCACCGTAGCGTAGTACCACACATACGTTTCGTTGAGTCTGAGGTAACTGTCTTCTTTAACGCCGACCCAGACGTCCGCCTTCAAGCCTCGCTCCCAGTGCTGCCAACATGAAAAGAATTGTTATGTGTCAGGATAAAACCCCGCTTCTAGTACTGTACTGTCATGTCAGTGGCTGTGCCAACATAAACTTTTTCAAGAGTTCGTAGATCGAGAGTCTGAAAGGTCCAAACTATGAATATTCCTTGTAATTTTAATATATATTAAATGTACAGTCACCCAAAAAAGTCCTGTCGCGAACCACGATTCAGACTCGTGAACCCGAAGCAGTAGACACTGATACATTATTCTGTCCATAAATGCTTCAGAGTCAAGAGTCTGAATCTCGGGGTTCATGGCTCGCGACAGGACTTTTGTGGGTGACTACTCCAACGATTTTCTTCTATCACACTTTTGGCTCATTTTACCCATAATTGAGATATGCATACTTTCACTTTAGTTTTTTGGTTCTGTGACCCTGATGGAGAAATAACTTCGAATTATCTTCAATGTGAGTGGTTCGGGAGCGTAACTATCCTAAAGTATTACTCAACATCTTCAAGCTGTTAGTTAAGAAGCGCAACCTTCATAAAGTATTACGTAAATTGATCCTACATACATTATCCTAGAGTCAGGCTAGTTCATTAGCAGAAGCCGCCACCCCTGAATGTTGGCCAAAGGACTACTCCCAGCCTCTCACATCAATAGAAGAAGCCACACTGTACCTACAGTGTGTAAAAACCACACATACGGGCATATATTATTCATGTACAGTACTGATAGATCAGTACTCCCATGAGCAACTCACAGGATAATAATAATGATAGTTTGTCTTTTGCTTCTCAAAAGCCCCAGTTCTTCTAGCGAATTCATTAACGCTCGAAACACTACAAAGACTTGAGAATAAAAATAATTACTGCACTACAATAAAATATCACAAAAAGTGACAGTTCGACTAAAATCATTCATATGCTCAAGTCAAGATATTAAAGAACAATAGCTTTATTGAAACCATATCTGAAACCACACCTGGGTAGATATTTTGTGATGGCACTTATTTTGCATAGCTTTTGTGCAGAATATGGCACCTGCATGTGACATATTTCATATTGGTAGATATTTTGTACAACAACGGTCATGCTGCTTCCTTGTGTACCAAAGGTTTATTATACAGTTGGCTAAGGTATTCTGCCCAATTTACCATCACGCTATGTAATAGAAAAAAACATGATGATGATAACACTATATTCATTCTGGGTAAAAACAAATTATTTTATATATCAAATAAGTTGGTGTAGTGAACATAGCCATCCAGGCGGCAAACATCACTAAATGGTGAACCGATATTGAAAAAAAAAACCACGATATCATTTCCATCGTTAAGGGTAACCACTGGGTATGTTTGTATTTGACATTGCTATGACAGGGAGATAGAACTATAAACAGTGTGGGCTGGTGTGGGGAAATATCACTCACAGCTCCGTTGTACTGCATAGGCTGGTTCATGTCCTCAAAGTTCCATGGGCTCTGCATGGAGACGCTGCCGTCCTTATTCACCTTCACGTCCCCCCAAGAGGTGATGTTCTCAATGGGCTGTATATGACAGTAGTGTTGCCTGTCCATTATGATGTACGAGAGACCTGCCGCCACACACCAGGGAGACAAGGCAGGATTCAGTATTTTCTAACACTCGAGAGCATAAAGGAGACAGTTAGCCAGCTCTAAATTAGTTGATTAGTTGGTATTAATTTCCCTCGTTTTAATAAAGGTTTGGGTCCTTATTTCACCCAGTCTGTGACGAGTTATGTCAGGTTAGGTTAAGTGTGAGGGATGTAACGCCCACTTCTTAATCTACCAGTATATCGTTAGAAAGTAATTAACATGTTACAAAATTAATATCGCCATCACCATTTGGCCACAGTCACCATCACCACCAGGCCACATCACCACTAGGTCACAGTCACCACCAGGCCACATCACCACTAGGCCACAGTCACCACCAGGCCACATCACCACTAGGCCACAGTCACCACCAGGCCACAACACAGCTATGCCACAGTCACCACCAGGCCACAACACCACTAGGCCACAGTCACCACCAGGCCACAACACAGCTATGCCACAGTTCCACCAGGCCACAACACAGCTATGCCACAGTCACCACCAGGCCACAACACAGCAGGAGTCACCATCGGGTCACTTTGACTCACCTTGGTTAAACTCGTGGATCCGGGTAGTGAGATTCTCGAAGCGGCGGTCACTGTTGTAGGAGGTAGGGGGGATGAAGTCCGCCCTGGTGATCCTCATGGTCCAGTCGTACCACTCCTGAGGGTGTGGCACCAGGCATGAGTTGTATGTTGGGTGAGTCGTGGGTTATTATGTGGGCGAGTCGTGGGTTGTTTGTTGGGAGACGTGGATGAGTCGTGAGTTGTTTGTTGGGAGACGTGGGTGAGTTCGTGGGTGAGTTCGTGGGTTATTTGTTGGGAAACGTGAGTGAGTCGTGGGTTATACAGTGCTGTCTGTGGGGTAGTGATGGATGATGGAGTCATGGGAAATTTGATGGACACACACACACACACACACACACACACACACACACAGCCTAATCCCAACCATCGTAAAAATTATCAACGACTCTTGGTTAACCAGTATGTTCACTTCCAGCCAATCTTACTTTTGTAATTACTGTGCTGAAATTCCTTGTGAAAATGACCCTCTTCCCCCTTATTATTATTATTATTATTATTATTATTATTATTATTATTATTATTATTATTATTATTATTACATACAGTACAACACAAAGCGTTACTTACTGTGCTAGGGAACATGCCACTGAACTTCACAGGCAGGGTCTGGTTGTCTCCATCAGGCACCTCCACGTCAACACTCAGGACCAGCTCGGACTTGTAGTTGAAGTTCTGTACAGCTTTGGGCGGGGTGATGTAGTTCTTCCTGTCTACACAGTACACGTTGGCTGGCGGCTGTGTGTGTTTGTGTGTGTGTGAAGGAAAAGGAGGAGGCGTTGTTTAGGGAAGACACAAGAGGGATTTTGAATTAGTATTTCGTGGCCTGGACCTGAGTTCTCTCTCTCTTTCCTACCAGACCAACTTGGGTCGTGTATCTCTCAATCTCTCTCTTCCCCAATAAGTTGAGATCTGTGTCTCTCTCCAGCTGACTCTCTTCCCAACAGCATAGGTTCCCTGCCTCTCTCCCTATCACTTAAAACCCTCAATATCTCATCGCCAATAAAAGAGGTCCACCATCTCCCCTCCCCGGCAATAGACAGTCTCCTTACCTCCAGTTCGTCTCTCGAGGCCACCCAGTCTCTCCGGAAGTCAAAGAAGTCATAACGCATCATGACCTCCTTCACTGTGGACCCGTCGTACTTCCCCGTGCCGAAGATCTCCATTGCGATCGGTACTTGTTTTCCGTCGTTGTGTACGTGCCATTCCTCAGCTGGTGTGGGTGGGGGAAGGAGATGCGAAGGGTTAGTATAGTAGGAGTGGTGAAGGTAGTGGATGGTGGTAATGGTAATGAAGATAGTCGGTTATGGTGAGATAATAGGAGGTGGTGATAAGTAGTCGGTTGGGTTGTGATATAGGAAGGTAATTGTACATTAGATTGATAGTAAGTAAACTAATTTAACTTAACGTAATCTAGGTTAGCTAAATCTAAACCTAAACCAACCCAGTGTGTTCAGTAGAGAGGTTATTATACCGGGATGGCAGTCTGTTGGTCTCAGGTTTGATTCTCTATGGAGGGGGCGTTGTGCGATTGACATCCATAATGAGTTAGTACTGACCTTATCCCCATGCTCATAACTTTAATCCACGTATACTCAGTATACGTCGACGCTACCGAGGGAAGACCCCACAAGCAGCTGTCATAGTGAAATGGAAGGGGAGGGAGTGTCCAGCCACTGTTGAGGCTCACCCAGTCCTCTCTCTACTGTACGCTGAACCCTTTCACCCCGGGCCTGCTTTTTGTGTCATCTGCTCCCATTGGGGTCACACCTTCACCGCCTGCTGCCGATGTGATCTCCCAGATGTCGCTTCTGTTCACGTAACCACCACTCCTCCGTCTGCGCCCAAAAAAATCAAAGACCACCTCAATGGGGGTGGTGTGGGCTATGTTGTTGACCCCAGGTGTTGTAATTGTGGTGGTTGGCACAATGCTGACTCACGACAATGCCCCAAACGTACGTCTGTCCCAGGATAAAAGCTCCTCCGAAGGTTGCGTCAATTTCAACCTCTCCCCCAGCCTACCGAGCCTTCTTCAACAACACCTGCCCCTGCCTGGCCTCACCTGGCTGCAACACAGCAGTCCCCGCCGTCTCCTAACTCATCTAAAACTGGGCTTCCTCCCCGTCTCTACTCAGACGCTGTCAGACCTTGTGCCCCCACCGGTGCCCCCCGCCCCCCACAACCTCCCTCCGGTGACACGACACAGATCATATCCCTCTTACACGAATTTACCAACCGTATTGAAGGACTCTTTGATACACTCTGTACCGCCATCTCCAACCTACACAGACTACCCCTGCCTCCAGCTGCTACCCAGTCACCCCCCTCTTCTGGTTTGACACAACCTGGTAACATCCCTTTGTGCCCCTCATGCTCAAGGCCTACTCCACCGCCGCCTGGCACCACTGATGGCGTCCACACTGAGCCTGCCCCGTGTCCGGCTGCCCCCGTCTACCCACCGCGCGCTCATGGACCCCAGGACACCACCCCTGGCTTCCCGTCCCCCACCAGCATGCCGGCACCTGGGGCCCATCCACTCCAGTTCTCCACATCAATTGATCACCATGCGGACATGCTAGTGGACTACGTATCTACGCTAAGAGGGACGTCCCCTACCAACCTCTCGACGTCCCCCTTGAAGCCGACACTACCGACGTACATGCCATCACAATCACACTAAAGGGTATGTCCCTCAATATTTTCAATGCCTATGGCCTGGCACTTGACATTACTAGGGACCTGCCACGCTTTGCCATAAACAGATAAATTATACCGGGAAATTTTCCCCCACACTCATTATTCTGTCACTGTATGTAGCTTGCTTACAAAACCCATGACCCTTCAGGCTTTTACGCCCTTAATGCATGAGTCATAAAGGCAAGCATGAGCTCCGCATGCTTCCCGGATGGGCACTGTAAACGCTTCTGTGCTTCACCTTGCACAGGATGTAAGGGGGGTGCCCAATAAACTAGCCCCCTCGGGGGCAATATATAATCTAAAATCTGCTCCTCATCTCTCGTGATATAGAGACAAGGGAGAATCCAAGACTCATATTTTTTGTTTACCCAATCAGACACCTCACTTAAGTGTTTCCTGTGTACGTGCTTTTCTAAGACACTTCCCTAGTAGAGAAAGTACAATATACTCCCCAACTGAATTAAGTACCTCAATAGAGCTATATTTACTGCGCAATTAAGAAAACCAGCAAAGTGCTTCTTCAGCCCTGCCATAGTAGTTCAGAAATAATATATATATATATATATATATATATATATATATATATATATATATATATATATATATATATATATATATATTATATATATATATATATATATATATATATATATATATATATATATATATGTATATATATATATATATATGTATATATATATATATATATATATATATATATATATATATATATATATATATATATATATAAAGGACCAACACAGTACTATTACGGGTTATTCTAGTGTGACCGACATCCACAGAGAAATGGTGGGCACCGCGGGCAAGACGTGTGTTACGAGCCCACGGCCTTGCCGGCGGTACACAGGATGCCAAATCCACCGAACGTTGCCCGTTAAAGTACGTGTAAAAGAGAGAGAGTGAAGCAACATTACGGCGAAGAGAAAGGGAAGAAAGATTGTCAACTAAAGAAGAAGAGTTAATAAGACGAAATGCCTTTGATTCCACCCTATCTAACAGTTGGACAGAAGAAGAGCCACCCCAGATATGAGAGCAGTACTCCAAGTTAGGAAGAATGAATCTCTTATATACTTAAAGCAACTGCTCATGAGTGAAGTAGCTACGGCATCTGCACAACATTCCCAGCTTAATGATAAAGTACCCTAGCGCTACTTGGGGGCGGGGGTTTAGGTTTGGTTAGATTAGGTTAGGCTAAATTAGGTTAATTAGGGTATAGGTTAAGGTTAGACTGTTGTTAGACTATATTAGGTTAGGTTATGTAATGTTTGGTTATGTTATGTTAGATTCTTGTATTACGTTATGTTATATTACGATAGGTTGTTAGGTTTGGTTAAGTTAGGTTATGTTAAATTAGGTTAGGTTAACAGCAATGTGGTTAACATTAAGTTGAAATAAGCCGGGGTGGGGCTAATCTCCATATGATCCAATTATGGAAGGGATTGGTGGTTGGGAGAGACTTACTGGTCCAGTAGTAGACATAAAGAACGCTGGCCTGTTCAGCTGGGTCGTTCAGGCAGGTTTCGAACACATCGCAGTCCATCCCGTGGCAGACGTCGATGTCCGGCCGTGAAGAGTAGTTGAACTCGGAACCGAACATGAGCAGACCCGCAGCCCCCATGAAGCCGTGTTCCCCAGGCATTGATACTATCCTGCCCACACAACACGGCACAGTCACTAGGAGGATCTTATTGACTATTACAGTATTACTCGTCAAGGAAAATTTTATTTTGGCAAATTTATCAAAGTATTAGTCATTCACCGACACATAGTTAGCCTAATGCATAGAGAGAGATTCCTCCTTGAGTACGAACAATGGCGAGAAACAAGGAGGCGACAGCAACAGCATTATAGGCATGACTCACCCGAACAGCTGTTGCATCTCGGCGTTGAGGTCGTCGATCTTACCTGCCTGACAGGTCGTCACTGTATGACGCAAGAGAGGAACCAAGATTAAGATTTCTCGATTACACTTTAGTTACTGTTACATGACTCGTGACTCACTTGTTGTCTCACTTCTCTTGTGTACTACCCTCTACCTCTGTACTGTGTTACCCTCTACTTCACTACTCTAGGGTGGAATTTACAAATATTTCCTCTTCCTACGCTAATTTCGCCCACGTTAGGCATTACTTTTAATTCTTATGGCTGTGTTTTGGACGTCATTTATACTGTTGTGTATTATATAGGTCAACTGGATGCGTTCTTATATCTCTAGCAACTAGGAGGAAAGTTAAACGTGTGACCCTCTGTGTGAATCCGAGAAGTGGTCTGAGGGCCGCATCTCGCAGACCAAATAACCAGTGAAGACCTAACTAAAGGGTCTTTGATCGTGTTATTATTCATGAAGAAAATTATTTTCCCTTTAGTTTATTCTGTTTTTTATTGCATTTGCTATTGTTATATTTTTACCATAGATAAAATCATAAAATATCATTGTCGATATATAAAAAAAGGATTCGTAAATATATTCAGTATTCCAGATATTTAACACTTGTGGATTTTTATGCCCGTCGGTATGATTGTGAGTCATATATTAATGTGTGTGTGTGTGTGTGTGTGTGTGTGTGTGTGTGTGTGTGTACATACTCGAATCACAGTCCTTGATCCCAGACACTGCACAGCCTTCGTTGGTGAGGATAAAGAGCGCCTCGTCCAGCTTGATGTTGTAGTGGATTAGTTCAGCCTCCAGTGTTGGCCTCTCCATATACCACCCCGTCGTCTGTCAGGATGAGGAAGGTGCTCAATGGGGGGAGTTGTTGAGGGTGGTAAATGGGAGGTGTTATGGAGTCAGTAAATGGGGGAGTTGTTAGGGAATTGGTAAATGGGGTGGTGTTTATGAATTGGTAAATGGGGAAGTTGTTAGGGAATTGGTAAATGGAGAGTTATTTAGGGGTGGTAAATGGGGGAGTTGTTATGGGTGGTAAATGGGGAGTTGTTGGGGAATTGGTAAATGGGGAGTTGTTAGGGGAATTGGTAAATGGGGAGGTGTTATGGGTGGTAAATGGGAAGTTGTTGAGAATGACAATGGGGAGTTGTTAGAATTGGTAAATGGGGAAGTGTTATGGGTGGTAAATAGAGTTGTTGGGGGTGGTAAATGGGGGAATGTTGTTATGGGTGGTAAATGGGAGTTGTTGTTGTTGTGGGGTGTTCCTGGTTGGTTAATAGGGGAACTTTGAGCGTGTATGGGGGTAGCCAGGAGATTAATGGGTGGAGGAGTGGTTAAGGGAGACATCCTTTCAGATAAATAGGGAAGGGGAGTGAATGGGTTAGCCCTGAATAGTTAAGGGGGGGTCTTTAATTAAGATGAATGGGGGAGAGAGTTTATGGGTAGATCCTCGAAGGTCTTGAGTTGTCATGAGGAAATCCAAGGTATTAATGGGTGACCTGACATTTAATGGGGTGAGGCAGGTGATATAATTGATGAGGGAGAGTTAATCGAGCATCAATGGGTAATGGACAAATATATGACTGAAAGAGATGAGTATTGGCGATAATGGTACTTGTGGTAACGATGGTGTTGGGAGCAGGTTATGGTGGTGATGAGGTGTAGTAGTGGTGGTGATGGTGGTGATGAGGTGTAGTAGTGGTGGTGGTGGTGGTGATGAGGTGTAGTAGTGGTGGTGATGGTGGTGATGAGGTGTAGTAGTGGTGGTGGTGGTGGTGATGAGGTGTAGTAGTGGTGGTGATGGTGGTGATGAGGTGGTAGTGTGGTGGTGGTGATGGTGATGAGGTGTAGTAGTGGTGGTGGTGGTGGATGAGGTGTAGTAGTGGTGGTGGTGGTGGTGAGTGAGGTGTAGTAGTGGTGGTGGTGGTGGATGAGGGGTGTAGTAGTGGTGGTGGTGGTGGTATGAGGGTGTCGAGGTGTAGTAGTGGTGGTGGTGGTGGTGGTGGTGATGAGTGTAAGTGGTGGTGGTGGTGATGAGGTGTAGTAGTGGTGGTGGTGGTGATGAGGTGTAAGTGGTGGTGGTGATGAGGTGTAGTAGTGGTGGTGGTGGGATGAGGTGTAGAGTGATGGTGATGATGTGTAATAGTGGTGGATGATGGTGGTACAGTAATAGTGGTGATGGTGGTGGAAGTGAACGATGGTGGTAATGGTACTGGCGGGAAGCAGTTGTGTAGTAGTGTCAGCAACAAAGCAGTAGGGAGGTGTAGCCAGCGACAGTAGCAGTAGGGAGGTGTGTAGCCAGACAGTAGCAGTAGGGGGCAAGAGGGACAGTAGCAGTAGGGGGGGTGTAGGCAGGACAATAACAGTAAGGGGTGTAGGCAGGACAGTAGCAGAAGGGGGTGTAGGCAGGGACAGTAGAGGAGTAGGGGTGTAGGGACAGTAAAGGGGGTAGGCAGGGGACAGTAGGAGTAGGGGTGTAGGCAGGGACAGTAGGGGAGAGGGGGTGTGGGGCAGGACAGTAACAGGGGGGTGGCAGGGACAGCAGGAGTAGGGGGGCAGGGACAGTGGAGTAGGGGTGTAGGCAGGGACAGTAGGAGTAGGGGTGTAGGCAGGGACAGTAGGAGAGGGGGTGTGGGCAGGGACAGTAGGAGTAGGGGGTAGGCAGGACAAGGAGAGGGGTGTAGGCAGGGACAGTAGCAGTAGGGGGGTGGGCAGGACAGTAGGAGTAGGGGGTGTAGGCAGGGACAGTAGGAGTAGGGGGTGTGTAGGGACAGTAGGAGTAGGGGTGTAGGCAGGACAGTAGGAGAGGGTGTAGGCAGGACAGTAAGAGGGGGTGTAGGCAGGGACAGTAGAGAGGGGTGTAGGCAGACAGGCAACAGGACAGGGACAGTAGGAGCAGGGGTAGGCAGGACAGGGGGTGTAGGCAGGACAGTAGGAGGGAACAGCAGTGGGGGTGTAGGCAGGACAGAACAGTAGGGGTGTGTGCAGACAGTAGCAGTAGGTGTAGGGGCAGGACAGTAACAGTAGGGGGTGGGGCAGGGACAGGGAGTAGGGGTAGGCAGGACAGCAGGGAGAGAGGTGTAGGCAGGACAGTAGCAGTAGGGGGGTAGGGACAGTAGCAGTAGGGGTGTAGGCAGGGACAGTAGGCAGGGGGTGTAGGCAGGGACAGTAGGCAGTAGGGGGTGTAGGCAGGGACAGTAGCAGTGGGGGGGTGTAGGCAGGGACAGTAGGAGTAGGGGGTGTGGAGCAGGGACAGTAGGAGTAGGGGGTGTGAGGCAGGGACAGTAGCAGTAGGGGTGTAGGCAGGACAGTAGCAGTAGGGGTGTCTAGGCAGGGACAGTAACAGTAGAGGGTGTAGGCAGGGACAGTAGCAGTAGGGGGTGTAGGCAGGGACAGTAGGAGTAGGGGGTGTAGGCAGGGACAGTAGCAGTAGGGGTGTAGGCAGGGACAGTAGCAGTAGGGGTGTAGGCAGGGACAGTAGGAGTTAGGGGGTGTGGGGCAGGGACAGTAGCAGTAGGGGGTGTAGGCAGGGACAGTAGCAATGGGGGGTGTAAGGCAGGGACAGTAGCAGTAGGGGGGTGTGAGGCAGGGACAGTAGCAGTGGGTGGGTGTAGGCAGGGACAGTAGGGTAGGGGGTGTAGGCAGGGACAGTAGGAGTGGGGGTGTAGGCAGGGACAGTAGCAGTAGGGGTGTAGGCAGGGACAGTAGGAGTAGGGGGTGTGAGGCGGGACAGTAGGAGTAGGGGTGTGTAGGCAGGGACAGTAGGGTAGGGGGTGTAAGCAGGGACAGTAGCAGTAGGGGGTGTAGGGCAGGGACAGTGCAGTAGGGGGTGTAAGCAGGACAGTAACAGTAGAAGTGTAAGAGAGCAGGACAGTAGCAGTAAGGGGGTGTAGAAGCAGGGACAGTAGGAGTAGGGGGTGTAAGGCAGGACAGTGGAGTAGGGGTGAGCAGGACAATAACAGTAAAGGTGTAAGCAGGGACAGTGAGTAAGAAGTGTAAGAGCAGGACAGTAGGAATAGGGGTGTAAGCAGGGACAGTAGCAATGGGGGGTGTAGAGCAGGGACAGTAGCAGTAGGGGTGTAGAGCAGGGACAGTGGCAGTAGGGGGTGTAGGCAGGGACAGTAGGGAGTAGGGGGTGTAGCAGGGACAGTAGGAGTAGGGAGGTGTAAGCAGGGACAGTAGCAGTGGGGGTGGGTAGGGACAGTAGGGAGGGGGTGTAGGCAGGGACAGTAGGGTAGGGGGTGTAAGCAGGGACAAGTAAGTAGGGAGGTGTAAGGCAGGGACAGTAGCAGTAGGGGGTGTAGGCAGGGACAGTAGCAGTAGGGGGTGTAGGCAGGGACAATAGCAGTGGGGTGTGAGCAGGACAGTAACAGTAGGGGTGTAAGCAGGGACAATAGCAGTGGGAGGTGTAAGCAGGGACAGTAGCAGTAGGGGTGTAGGTAGGGACAGTAGCAGTAGGGGTGTAGGCAGGGACAATAGCAGTAGGGGGTGTAAAGCAGGGACAGTAGCAGTAGAGGGGGTGTAAGCAGGGGACAGTAGCAGTAGGGGTGTAGGCAGGGACAGTAGCAGTAGGGAGGGTGTATGGGGACAGTAGCAGTAAGGGGGTGTAGGTAGGGACAGTAGCAGTAGGGAGGTGTAGGCAGGGACAGTAGCAGTGGGGAGGTGTAAGCAGGGACAGTAACAGTAGGGAGGTGTA